ATTATTATACAGTTATATATATATATATATACATATATATATATATACATATATATATATATATACATGTATATATATATATATATATATATACATACGGTATACATAAATATATGTAGTCTTTTGTATATATAATATATGTTGAGAACATTAGATGGGTGCGATTTTTATTACTTGATATCGAACGTGAGACACGTATTCACATCTGCATGTGCGCATGCTCACACGAACTTTGATATCAGGAGTTCTCAGGGTGTGCGCTAAAACTGAGATAGAAGATTGATCCCTTATGCGGAAGAAAAAAAATGGGAGCGGCCGGTCTTTTGTACAACATTCTATTTCCGAGAGCATCGGTTTAGAAAATTGGAAAATTAACAACGTCTCTTCTCTTCATTCAGCTTGACCAAGCCAGAATAGTCTTCCATTGCAGGTTGAGTGGTTTCAATAATCAGCATTAGAAAACAAAAAATGGAAAATGTTTTAAAAAAAGACTGAGCTTAATATTTTAGATAAAAATTACATTTTATTCTAGTGAAACCTGTATGTAATTTCCAATCATCATTTTATAAAGAGACGAATATTTTTATAATCGTACTTTTCGGTGTTCACATCAAGAAAATGTATTTTTCAACATTAATTTGCCGTATTACAAAAATTTAAGTTTAATGTGGTATTGTTCATTTATTGATCCTTCACTAGGGAATTGATGAAACTACTTTGAACTTTAGAACTTCCCTTTCGATAGCTTTACTAGTAACATTTAATTAATAAAGTTCCACTTTGATCCAACGAGAGAAAAGGAGAAAGGAAAACAAGCTTTCTCGTTTACATAAACTTTTAGAGATACTACAGTCAACGTTTTTATAAAACTATCGTTCAATCGAGAAAATGTGATAGAATGTGATAGAAGTATCTTTATTACAAATAGAACTGTCTAATTATTATTATTATGTCTATTACCGTGAATAAACTTACATCGTTTATTTAACCGGAATAACTATAATGATCTGTTAGTCTTTTACTTATAAATAGTAACTTTTCTCGAAACAAACATCGTTTTTTGTGGAGTTCAAGTAAATGTATCAAGTAACATTAGTGTTTTAAATTAAATGTATTAAGTAATTTTAATGACTTATAATAATATTAATGACACTTCATTGACGTAAAACACGCGACGATTAGAATTAAATTAACTTTTGCCTCTGCATTCTTCCACGTGTTTTTGAACACTCGAAACAAATGCTGGAAATAAATAATAATAATCCGTATCAATTCTGTGATTCTCATTTCATACATTCGATGCTTACGACAATATCACACGAAATATATATTCTCGCACGTAAAAAAAAGTTTACGGTTCTAAAATCGTAACTTGTTACAATAATAAAAAAATAATAAAAAAATAAAACATAAACTCAATTGTATAATTCGTATTCCATACTTGTTCAAACGTAAATATTGAAGGCATAATCTGTAAAAAAACATAATTAAGAGTTTGACAAATTCGCTTCTACGAATGTATTTTTTTTCAATATAGGTCAACATTTTTGGATAAATGCGCTGAATATTTTTCACGTTCCTAACGAAACAGTTGGAATTGGAGTTCATTAATTTGAAAGTATGTAACGCTCGTATTTCAAATATCGCGAAAATTCTAGCTGCTGAAAACATTTCGGTAATTGAGTGTCCAAAATGTAAATAGGTCATAAAACCTCATTTCTCGGTTGATTTAACCGGACTTTGCTTTAATGTCAATTTCATCGGAAACTGAATTGCCAACATATTTAATATTGAAAATAATGGTCGGCCATTAAATTTACGTGGAGGAAATATCGGCCCCGAAGCTTCGGTAAAAGAATCTCTCGTTAAAATTTAATACTGCGGAGGTACATGGCGAGCATCGCACGTTGCTGTAGCGAGAAAACTGTAGCGAGATCTCCGAGTCGCGATACTCCGAACAGCAGGGAAGCAGGAAATGTCGATTTATCGTCGAGATAGAAGGAGAGCGAGCCGATCTCCCTTCTTCCGAACAACGTCGGGTCATATTTTTCGAGGACGAGAGGAGCGCAAGCTCCGCGACGACAAGCCGGTATAATAAGATGAGATATGTTGCCCAAAAGTTTCGTGTTTCCGCGAGACAGTCAGTCCGAAACGACTGAAAACGTAGCACGCCGCAAAAGTGCACCGTCGAAAGACTATAATAATCATTTTCCGTCGGGACAGCCTCATATAACGTGACCGACGGTACCGACGAAAAGTCGTAGGTTCGTCGTAGGAGCAGGCAAACGTTCAGCTCGGGGTGCCCCGAGGATACTTCGCATAATTTTCTGCGGTGTTTCACCGTCCGCAGGATTTATCCTCGCGATCGTATCTAGGCCACGACGCGACGCGACGCGACGCCACGCGAAGCGAAGCGACGAGAAGAGCCGCATCCGCGACGGCGAATAATTACTGTGAAGCACGACTTTAGGACGACCGTAATCCCTCATTCCCGCGGAGAACGTATGACGTGACGTTTTTCCTGAAAATACCAACCAGTATCGCCTTGCTGTACGACATCGTCACTGCGAGGAGATCGTTATCGAAGATAACCTCTCACGCGCGTATACGATGCAAATTCAACAGTCGATTTTATAGAAACGATCCGTCGGTCTGTTGAACGATATTTTATGTTTTTCTGTATTTAAATACGTTATATCGCGCATAATCACTGTTTTGTCACGTTATCAGTTTTTTGTTATTCATTGATAATGATGGGCTGGACTCTCGAGTTACCTCGTTAATGACACGAAGAGATATGAAAATACTGTTGTGTTGTCATCCGCCACGTGAGTCATTATACGGACCTTTCTATTTGCGGTCATATTGATCCACGTGCTTGTATGTCAAAGCGCGCTCATCGATAACTTAACGGTCGGTCGCGGCTTTGATTACAATGGCGTTGGCGAGATCAGATGTCTAGGACTCGGAAAGTGCCAGAAGAATAATTTATGACGGTTTATGCGAGAAGTCCGATACAAGCCTCTTTTGCTCCGAGATTAATCTCTAGGAATGTGCACGTGCTCTACGATTTGCAGATCTCACTCGAGAAAGATATATTCTTTGATCGATTTAAAGCCGCCTTTAGGAAATATATTAAGATTTAAAAATCCTTCATTCCTTCCTGCGTATATAACTAGTTGAATAAAGAAGAATCTTCCTGTGGAAAGGCATATTTCTCCGAGAGCAATAAAACTGTTTAGTCGAGGTAACGTAATAATTATAAAATATTAAAATTAGAAAGAGCGCGGGGAAAGGAGAAACGTAAGCCAAGATATATCTTGCGAAAATTAATTTCCTAAGTGTAGGTCTGCGGATTGCATGTATACATGTAGTTGCCGTAAAAAAAAATAGGTTAATTAACTCCTGAACTCCCTACCGATACTGGGTCGCTAACGAAATGTAAAACTGGCACGTACCGTTACCTTCAGAAAAATTCCGCAATTTTTAAGTCAGGAGGGATACGCTGATTTTACGTTCTATAGAGTGTATGAACTTTCCAGTAGTATGGACTAAAATATAATCGACAGAGTTTGTACGCATGATGCCAAATGTTTGAAAGGAGGCAACGATTAATTTCGTAATTTTCTCCGCGCAAGGGCACTCCCGCAACAAGATCCCCAACAGTCAGGTTCCGATTGAGCTCTCCACACCCTCGAGTACAGAACTCTGGGTTGGAGATATCATCGGGTGTCACGCGAAGTGTGAATCGCGATGTCCATCTCTCAGAGACGCCGAGTATCTCAGCCGTCCGGACGTTTCGCAGGTGACACAGGTGCGGCCGGTGCCTTTGTCATCGCGACATTTTCCACGTTCACGGTGAAATTTTTTTTCCCTTCAGCACGCGCACCCTCGGGCTGATAAGCCGCACGCACGTTGCTTTATCGCAGGTTCAAGTACCGCGGGTCAACGACTCGCATTCGCGACTGATGGCGTACACGGCCAGGCCATTATCGTTGGAAACATACGCATCGCGTCGGTCTGTAGCTCGCTGTGTATCGCAGAGTATCGAGATATCGGTTGGGTATAGGTAGTTTCTTTGTTTTGTAGAACATCGTTATACGCTAATTAGCGCGGTGCGTGCGAATGCGATCGCTCGCTCGCTCGCGAGACACGCACGACATGTCTCGTGCGCGGCGGAGAAATAAATATCACCGTCGTGCATTATTAACGATTAACGCGCCGACTGTTTACCCCCCGTAAATTTGATCTTAACATTGTCATGCGCCGTATGTCGACACGTTATTTCATGGCCTCGATGATAAGCGCGCGAACTCGTCAATGACACCCGCTGATAATTCTCGAACGACCGTTGATGTAGCGTTTAACACATGTCATGGGTTACCCAATTCGAATTCAGAAGCAAAGTCCCCGAATCGAAATTTCGGCTGTATATCGAGCCTGTTTCCATCGAGCTTAAACCAATGGGAAATATTGAAATATTTACACTACGCAGGTTGTCCTGTCCTTCTCCGATGCTCTGATTAATTGCCGGCCTAAATTACGATTCGAGAATATTCTCGCTCTCGCTGAATTTATCAAATGTCCGTTGGAATTGCAAGCATCTGCATAATAAATGATTTCGTATACCTGGAAATATATGACGTATCGTTGATTGTTTCTCGACAACCTGCGTCTTCCGTCTTGGCTGCCCTATCCAGGTGTGGTCCTGCTCTCGCAATGTCTTTGTAGCACACCGAATACTTGCTTGCGTGTTAATTAACGCGACGCTGATCGGAATGCATTTGCTTTTGGTAAGAAGCGCGAAGTATAGTCGACGTACGTGTCGTATATAGAATATAGTCCATTGCACCAGAGATCGCTCTTCGCATAGCTGCACTTTCCGACACAGTTTCATATTTCAAATAAAGTACGTGTACATCTTTTGTATGTAAAATCCAAATGATGTATGTCTCGTGAGTATTAATTAGACACGTACATGTTCATATTTTTGACGGAAAGAAGGGCGAAAAATAAAGATTACAGAAGAGTGCAGAATGTGCAGGTACGAGGTGCGAATCATAGTTCCGCAATCTCCCACGCTCGACGGGGACGCGCGGTGGTCTGATTTACGCGGTGGTAAAATATTTGAATCGGTAGCGGCCATAACGGTGTCGCAGTTCGAGACACGAATTTATATGTCATTAGTTCGGCTCAAGATTACAACGCTCGCTGTGAGACAAAGATCATCGCGGAGGCGACGCGCGAGAGCTCCGAAACAATCGGCAAAAAGAGGTAAGTCACTCGATAGCTAAATGTCCTTGACGGCGAGCCGTGATGTTTACATTCCGCAGCCGAGAGACGACAACACAGTCAGCTCGCTTAGAACATTCCCGACCTTCCGGACGGTACGAGTTGTTACGATTCTCGTGCGTCGTGCACGATGATACAAATATATCACGCTCGGTGTCCGCATTCATTTCGTTTCGTGTCGACGAGCGACGAGCATATCGCGACGTGCGTTACGTGTGCATCAGTGCGTATCGGTGCGATTATCATTCTCGTCTCGGACAGTGCAAAGCTTGCGTCGGTCCTTCAAGTATTTCATCACGCTCGTCGGCGTCGCGTTGGTTGAGGGCCGGGGCATACAAGAAAGTTTAAGCATGGGGACGTAAGCGGTAAGCAAATGAATCAGTCATAGTTGAGAACATGAGCGGCGACTGCTCGCGTTTTCAACTATGATTGCTTTGTTTGCTTACCGCTTCAGTTTCTCTGTGCGTTCGACCCTAATGCGCGTCAATTCTAACCTTCGATCGAATCGCAACTAGGTGATTGTCGGTGCCACGAGTGTTCAAAATGCTACAATCGTGCTATTAGGGCCAGGATTGGGCAACCAATCGATGTGGATTGCAAAACATCGCCAAACAGCGGATATTGTATATTTGCAGGTGCGTAAAATTATTTATTGCGTAAGATATTTCCGACTTTAGTGTACTAAGAATAAGATTATATGTAGAAATTTAAACCGCCATGCATATCGTCGGTTATTGTCAACAAACAATTGTAACATCTTGGATACCTGTTATTCGTCAATTTGCATCTCAGATGTATTTATTTTATGCGGCAAAATATATTGATCGAAGCAGCCGAATAACATTGGTAGCCAATGTGTAAAATTCCGTCAATTATTTGCAAGATTCGGCATTAAATGCATTGTCGATATTTTTTATATGTTTGCGGGCATGACAAAGAGCATGTTTGTAAAAAAAAATGTTTATTCTCATTTTATCTTTAACTTGAGCGTGAGGTGTATGTAACCAGAACGGGAGTAGGTAAATATTCCGAGAACGCTCGTAATAAAGCGCGTTCCACTTTGGAATAGTAGTGCATCGCAAATACGCGGAGAGAGGGGGGACGGAAAGAAAACTGCAAGAAATTCCAAAGTTTATCTAAGCTATCTGCTGACTCTAAAATGTCGAGAAGTTTTTGTATGCTTTGCAAAGCTCCGCGAAAATGATAATGCTAACATTTTTGCGAGGCTCGTGGGATGCATTTCGCTAACAACGTCGAAAGTTGAAATTTTGCGCAAGTTTCGAAAAAAGGAAATAAAATAGGTAACTGCACCGTTTGAAATGTTCACGTACAGAAAACTAAAAATCCAAGATTTATGCGGTTGGTTTAGTCTAATGTAAATATGTCTCGCAAGAACGATAATACGATGGAGATTTGTCCGTACAAAAAGGATCGGAAAATTTGCATTTAGCTCCTGAATTCGCGACACACTTTTTTTCGAAGCAACGAAATACTCGATAAATTTCCGCAAATTTGCGTAACTTTCCGCAAAGAATCTTGAAGCATCTTCACCTAAAAGCTGGTAATCTTAAGTTAAGACGCGTGTAAACTTTTTGCGAAGCTTTTGTGTACTTTTTACGACGATCTTGGAATCTCTCTTTAAACTTCCACAGATTCTTTTGGCAATCCTTTCGTAAAGATCTGGAAATCTCTTGAATGTTTGCGAGGCGTAAATTTGTTAAAGCACGGGCGCGTTTTCAAAAGATTAGGTTGCCTCAATCCTATAATGCGGTGAGATCTTGCGCGAAATACCTTCATCCACGATGACTATCTTGCAGCGTCTTACCCAATTAGCATGTTTCAGCTCGCTTAGAGCCCGTAAGGAAAGTTTCAAGATTGCTAACGAAAGCACGGGCAAGCTAAATATAAAGGAGAAGCTATGACAGGATAAAAGAAGCTCAATATATCAGAATGTAGCAAGTTCGATACTCTGTACTCAGATTCCTTGATCAATACGGGGCTAATTTTTTTCGCGATGAAAACTTAATCGCGGCTTTACACGTTAACGTTTGGCTTTCGACATTTTTTTCGCTAGGCTTGAGATAAAAATTTGGTTACATCGAACGCCCACTTACATTTAAATGTGAACAATCGGTGAGAATAAAATTGTATCACTCACATGTCACCTTTCGACGTCCTTAGTTTATGAAAAATTCATAAAATCCAACCGAATTTCCCGTCGCTTATATGCTCGTGAACAATTAATATCGTGTTATTTTTGTGGAAAAATCAGTCCTAACGAATCCATAGGGAAAATAAAAAATTCCAACCACCATCGTGTGTACTTAGGGCGTTATTATTTCCATTGTAACTGACGTTAACATTCGCGACAAGCGAATACTGAAAATCACAAGTAGAAATGCGTAATATTTACAGGAGTAAAAAAAAAATATTTTCCAACCTATTGTTCAAGAGCGGAGATTTTACGATTTCGAAGTCGATGCGCTATTGTCGGCTTTATGCATAAAGCCTTTTCGGATGTTAGAACACTCAAAGATGATATTTGTGTTTATATGCAGTAACGAAAACGCGACATCGGGGTATAGGGCGTACTTTCGTTTATCCGCATCGAAAATCGAACTCACCGAAATTATGCCGGTTTTAAAGTCACGCCCGACTTGGCTTCCCCGACATTCCACTTTCGTCTGTCCACCCCCTAAAATTTGGCCCTGCGTTACTTTCCCCCCTGGCACCCGCGTTTTATCGTCTCACACTCGACGCGATGGTAATTGCTTGAATTTTCGAGGCCTTCGCGCAGCTGAACATCGCCGAGCTAGCTAGGTGCGAGCGGAGACAAGCGTTTAATTTACCTGGACCAAGTTCGCGCGCGCGCGCCAAGTCCTTGTCGCAGTCCGTGGCGCCGAATGAAATTGCGAAAGTTGTTCGTCTAGAACGACAATGGCGCAAACGAGGTGTGAAGCGAGGCTATGAAATATAACGGCACGATGACGACGATGGCGACGAGTCCAACCCGCCCGGAGGCCTCCCGCCAACTTTTTTCCACGTATCCGTGTAACATCGCAATGATCGATATTGCACATTTTTCACCTGCCGGATCGGTATATTCAGGTTTTACGACGTAGCTATTGTACGATATATTAATAACGCATTCCGAAATGTAATTTTAGTCGGCAATTCTATTACGAAACTCTAGACGTATAACGATGTAAACATAATCGACAAGGACGCAAGCCTATGCGTGTTATTATTTTGGAGGGCACGCGTTCCTCGGGACAACGCATGTAAACACGCGACATTATAACAGCTTGGTTAAGGCGGCGAACGTATCGTGCCGTGTCGCGTGTTACTCCCGTCTTTTTTACGTAAATTAGTCAAAGTGATCGTGAGACAAATTACGATATATCGCGTGCGTGCAATCGCCGTGTGGGGGTCATCGTGAGCAATAAGAGCATTGTGAAATGTAAAGAGTAGCTATCATGTTTCGAGCTTTTTATCACATTTTAATCTCTCAAGTATTTTACTCCCTCTCCTGTACTCGGTAGCGAACTCGTCGGGAATCTGCATTCTATGTTGAATAATAATACTATTATTGTAAATAATTGGGAACATTATTTTTTATTACAGACACATAGACAGTGGCTACACACAGGTGAAGTTCGGTGGTACTTCTCCTATATAGACTCATTACTGGAGGATTCGGTTCAGGCAGCGCAGAGTCGGCTCGAAGGTAGGTTTAAAAACTTTTTTCTCCCTACGATTTAAACTTTTGTTGTTGAAGTTGAGATATAAATTGTTGAAGTCAAAATTGTCGAATTAATCGGTAAAAATATATTTTGTTCCAGATTTGAAGGCAGAACGTGGCCGACTCTGTCTTCAGACTCGGTGAGTGAAAAAATGGGTACAAAAACCGGAAGGTGATGGGTATGAAAATTTAATGATAGATGTTTAGAAAAGTCGTTAGAATCAATGCGATTTACTTTGTTTGAATTTTGCATATATGTGCCGTACAAAATTTATTGCTCAAAATAAACGGAGGATCGTGCTTCTCCAAGTGTCTGATATCTAAAATATTGAATATTGTTTTGGTCTATCTAATCTTAATTAAATGAACATATTTATGTAAGTTCGATATTTTATCCGCATATCCTGTTCAATTCAAGTTGTAGAATTATCCAAGAACATTATTCATTCAATACGATCCTTCAATTGTTTTGAGCAATGTACAATCAGCAGCAGAATCGAAATGTCAGAATTGCGCCATCGCACGCTGTATTCGCGATTACTTTGCTCCCACGCCGCGTTAAGAGATTTCACGTTCGGCCTTTAACTCGCGGTTTTCAGCATACACATTTACGTCGTGATTGCTTCGCTCGCGGATTTCAATTTGTGATATTTATTATCGATTTTCTTAAATGCGATTCGCGCCGTGAATACGTTAAAATTACATTACAACACATCACGAATTCGCGAGACGGGAAACTCGTTTTTCCGCAAGTAAAATGAAATATTACTCTCGTGTTTTCGGTTTCATCGACGTCGCTACAGTTTACAGACATTTTTATACGTGGCACGCAATTTTCGCGAAGTTCTTGATAAGCCGGAAGATATCTTATCGTTATAAATATTCGTTAAATAAATTTGTAGATTCTGATTTCGTTCTTAATCATAGTTGCAAATATCGCTCGAGAAATAAACTCAAACTTTTCATTCGTTAAACGCTTTTATAATGCGAATATGAATCGCGTTGGGAGTACACTGAAGTTTAGTGAAATGAAGTGCAATCAACATGGAACGACGGACAGAGCATGGAGACTGGGACGATACGGAATTCCGGATGCGACGCAGTTCGGGATGCAGCAGCTGGTTTCGTCGGTGGACCTGGTTGGACGTTGGCGGAGTTCAACATACGATTGGTGAGTGTTGAATTTCAACACTCCTGGAGTATTTTATCATGTGCATGAATAATCGTAAAACGCATTGATTTTCAAGGAAAAGATTAACACATTCGTTGCTACGCTAGATTTTTTAAAACTCTCGTTATAGATGATGCCTCTAAAAATCATTTTTAGAGCATATTATTTTGGCATATTACGTACACTTGTTAACACAATGTGTAAAGAGAGTACATAAAGCAGGTTAACTGATCAATTAACTATTCTGTTAATTGATACGTCGCCACTATACGTGCCACTGGTAGCGAACGTGTTAACGATAAAAGTATGTTGTCTAAGACCGCGATTCTTCGAACTAATTCCAATTTAATATCCGTAAAAATACGATATATTTTTTATGCCATGTATAAATGACAATATTTTATGACATATATTCTAAAGCTTAAGAGTGAAAACCTTAGTACCAAAATAACAAAGCTGCTATATATTTATATATGTTATATGCATATATATATACACACATACATATACATACATATACACATACATATACATATCCGGAAAGAGAAACGTTTTTCTTGCGCGCGAACACTATCGACACAACGCTGGCCGACTTGGGCCGAGTTATGAATAATGCATGCGATAAATTCGCGTCGCACGCATGCAAGCGCGCCGGTAATTCCATTAGCTGTACCATTTTATCGCCCGATACCGCGGATTCAATTGAGTAACTCCTTTCACGCCGTCAAGTACCATTCCATTATTTCGTGCGACCGGCCTACGGCGCGACAAGTCGACGAGCGTAGGACGTGTGGCACATAGTATGCGATTCCAATATTTCTCACACGCGATAAATGGTCCGATGGAGTGTCAATTGGTTTATTAATTATCGATAATTATCTCTGCCAACTTTCGTCTCGTTCACGATCGACGGTGATGGAAAAATATTTTTGGAATATTTGCAGAATAACACGATTATTTCCGAATGGCGTTGCGTTACTTTACTCGGGAACTGAGAATCGGAAAATTGATTTCAATACGCTTTGTCGCTGAATCGTCTCAGTTATAGTCGGAATCGATAATCGGTGCTCGATACTGAAAATACGTCGAAACATTAACGTTCGTTGTGCGAAATGGAAGAGCGAAAATGCTACATGTTATTATTCTATAACTTTGCCGATATAACTGGAATATGTCTGTTATAAGGCTTTACCATTGAATACTGCAAAGTATGATACACGTTTATGTTACACGTGACATCTCCGCTACACGGTATTGGCATACGATATATGCGCAATGGGCAACCATCTAGAGTTACTTTTCGCGTTACACTCGCGCGCAGCACAAATATTACACTAAACAAAACAAGAAACCGCGGTGCTGCAATCGCAATATTAACATACTCGACATACTCGATGGGTTTTTCGCACAGAGAAATGACAATGCATTCTCTACTTTGAACGCAAGTACTATGAAATCTACAATATGCGACATTTTTTGTTTGATTATAGAAAATTAAAAGTCGTTACACGTGACTCGTGTGTTAGTTATCGGCTGAGATCATTCATTGCACGGTTGAGCGCGAATATAAATAGGAAACTAGACGGTAACAGAGAGGGTTAAGTGGCGAGACGATAATAGCGAGAGTTCGTACACAGTTCAAGTGCCACGCTATAACTTCATTCACTCGTACGATGTATATCGCGATGCCACGTATTATGTCTTTTCCTTGTATCGGACACTGTTATCGACTTTACTGTAAACGTACTATGGATTCGAGCACAAATGGACTGCGTGGCTTTGTGTGTCTCTTAAGTCTCACGTAGTTGGTAATAATTCCGTTATACGCGACGTTATATCATTATTTTCATCCGCGATGCTTTTTCTTTCTTTAGGAGATCGTTCATTAATCATTCTAATTAATCGGCGGAACAGAGGCAACTTTACGGTCTTATCTCTTCTGCCGCTTCTTCTTGTTACAGCCAGTACTAATTGCGTCTTTTGCAACAAAAAATCGGTGAAGATTAAGCACTCGCACGATCGCATAAATTGAAATGATCGCAAAGAATTCCGTGGCATATTTCGAAAATCACAAATTCTTATTTTTTAAAATTAATTTACCGCGTTTAATTGTATGCATATTTTGAATTATTACGCGTTTTACGGTATATATATATATATATATATATATATGTATGTATGTATATGTACGCGGGTATGTGGGGGGATACGCCCGCGCGCGCGTTTAAATTAATTTCGTTATAAATATACGTAACTCAATAGGTGGATAATTGAGTATTCTCTTCCAGGTGTCGTAAATTTAACCTCTTGCTCTTTTATTTAATTCAAAATACTGTTTCGCCACTAACGCGTTGAGAATATCATATGTATCTTGAGCTATAATATATTCTCTATTACATTCCAATTAAGCAATTATATAATATAAACGGGCATATGAACCGCGAATATTTATTCCACCGAGTTATTTTATAACATGGAGTGAAATATCATATTTTTCTCCCATCTTTTATCATATCTCGTACAAAATATTCGATATTCGATATTTTATTTTAACGCGATTTTATTAAACTACGCGCCTAATTATAACCTAACCTAATTATAAATTATAAATTCGCCTTTGTGGCAACATCTATTTCTATTATCACAACGTATCTTTATTACTAACATTTGCGTTCATTGTAAGTAATTATTACATTTTCTATGTCATTTGTTTATTAATATTGCAAAATTCAAAGCGATATCGCTCTTATTTCGAATCTATTTTTTGCGGAATTTAAATTTCTACTTTGATTCGTAATACATTTTTTTCTTTATGAAATTGCAATTTAGCAAGCAATTGTTTCATGAAAAGTCCACGTTCGGCAAAAAATCATAAGATATTTCTTGTGTCACACGGTCACTACCGTTTTTGTATGTTCATTTTCCGTCAAAAATTTAAATTATTAATCTTCCTTCTTTTTCCGTTTACGTTAACCATAGTGAATAATAGTGCAGGATCGCGCAAGTATCGCAGGCAAACAGCAAACAATCGACTTCCTCTCCGTTTACGAACCGCAAACATGAGCCATAAATCTCTACGTTTCTTTCCCCCTATCTCTCTTGCTCTTTGACTGGAACAGCACTCGTAAATCTCTCTCCCGCCCCCGACCGGCGAATGTCGCGTTGCAATTAATGTAATTAAACTGAATCTTAATTATCGTAGACGCGGTAGACGAGATTTTATCTGTGTCATGAAGCGTCGTTTTGTTACTCCCTATATACGAACGTCCCTTATATCATGCTAGAAGCTTATTCCATTCCTTCTTTGTTATTGTTATTTCGCCGCGGCATTTCTCTCGAGATAACAAAAATATCGATATCGTCATTACATAGTTATACACACACAAGCAGTGATGTGATCGCAAATATTTATAAAATAAGAGTGAATTTTTCTTTCCTTCACGTTATCACCGTTCATGGTCTATGCATTGGTGTGGATGTCATTAACGTTGAAATAATTGAGTAATTTGAGGAAAATTTACAACTGCAATTTGACTGCAGAGATGTAATTTTCACAAGAGTCATTATCGGAGGAGGTGCTTTTTCGCGATGTAATATTTGACGTTTTTTTCCGTCACTAAATTACATTGAGAATCCGAGATTTCACGTCAAGAATGATCGAGAGAGCGGTAAGAATTAGAGCGTTAAGCGAAAGAGTATTAATAGCGACTCAAAGAGTACTCTCGTATTCACGTCGCTTTTTTCGCGATCCCCAGTACTCTTTGACGATTTCCCCACGGTCAGCCTAATATCGTGCACGCACGCCACGGTCATCCGGTTTCCTCGTCGCGTTGCGGACGGTACAGGTCATGCAAGATGATTAGACAGCGACGGACGGAGTAATTACCTTCCGTGCACATGAAGAGTATGGCAGCAATCGAGAGCCTCGCTTGCCATCTCAGAGCCATTTCCGCGACTGTTTGGTGGTACGCTTGCACTTTGATACTGAAACGATTCACATCATCCACGCGAAATAGCTACTACCACCATCCACTCAGCACTGATACAGCACACCAGACGACAAGGCGATAAGGCGAGGTCTTATCGCGTCTTGTCCCAGCTCCTCAACGCCGATCAACACACAGAAGTCGTCGCGAGAAATCAGGCGGGTCAGCATCCGTTGCGAAACGAAACAGCCGACGGTAGGATGACGTCGCGCGACGTTCGGCCTGAGAAACTTCAATCCTCTCTCGGCGCTCGGCGAAGATCGAATAATCGCGAGAGAACCGCGCTGGTCCTATCGAGATTCCTGCGAGACGTTGTCCCGTCCGACGACGCGCGCGTGCATATATCCTCCGCAGGGTGGAATCCCCTACCACACGTAGGGCAGTCACCACGTAGGCGATAACGCGCGTGGAAATGATTATGGCGAAACTTTGGACGGGGCGGTGCGCCGCGTGCCGCGAAACTTTCCACCTGTCGTCGTTGTCCGACTGGCACACTGCTCGCACACTGCTCGGATAAGGTCCTCGCCCCACTCGCACCCCCCTTCACCACCGCCGCACTCCTCTTCGCGCGATGTCAACTCGGCGCGGTTTAGATTCCTCGGCTTCCGAAAGATTCCGTAGATATCGAAGCTCCTCGGGGTCTCACGAGGATTCACACTTGCCTCGAACTCGGACAATTCCCCCAGCAGGGGATGCTAACGGGTCGCAGTGACCCTTTAAAGGGCGGTCCCAGTCGCCGTCGCGCGAACGCGCGCGGTCCGCATCGTCGCGCGGGGAATCCCGAAAATCGAAAGTCGCGCTCGAGTCGTCGTAAGACACATAGCGAAGCGATCTCGAGGAGGCGAGCCGCTTTTCTTCGCCGAGTCTCCCTGCGATCGACACTGAGAACCGGATCGTCCGAAGCAGCCGATCGATCGCGCTCGCGCTCGCACTCGCACTCGCGCGCGCGCGCGCGCGCGCGTCACTCGCGAGTTCAGTTAGAAAAAGTGACTCCTACACGCACTCCTCTTTGTCCCTCCTCGCTCCCTCTCGCTGAGAAAAGATCGCGTAGAAAAGGCTTTCAGCTTCGGCCCCGCGCAGGAAGATTCTCCGCTCGCCGCGTAAGCACACCCGTCACCCGCGTCCGGGACCCTCTTTTACGACCATTAATAATTCATCGTCCGAAACTGTTCCTCGGGTTTACCGCCTCGTTTCCCCGTCTTTACTTTACTTTTCTTTTCTTTTCTTTCCCTTCTCTCGCCGTCGCTCCTCCGCCTCTCGCTCTCGCTGCGCGCGCTACCACTACGTCTCGACGATCAAGCCGTAACTCCACCCGCCGCGAGTTTCCATGTCGATTCTGGATCGCGCTCCGTTGTTATTTTAAGAAATCGTCACGACGATCGTACGCGTACACGACATTGTATATAGCATAACGGCACGCACCACGTCTTGTTTCGCTGGCAGATTTACCCTGACTGGGGAGATTCTCGGCCGTGGGAGCATGCGCGTTTCCGATCCACCCCCTGTGACGGTGGAAGAGCGCAGAGGCTTTACGGATACACACGTACACACAGAGAGAGAGACTCTCTCTCTCTCTCTCTCTCTCCCTCTCCCTCTCCCTCTCCCTCCGTCGTCTCTCTTTCTCTTTCTCCTTCTCTCCTTCGTCAGGGAGGACGTCGACACACGTTCGTCCTGGGGCGCGTACGCACACGCATGCAGGGGTTCATATGTGTGGTGAGGTAAGGGAAACCCCTTCCTCCCCCGTCCTGCCCTGCCTCTCTCTTCCTCGGTGCCTCGCGCTCTCTCCCTCTCCCAACCACCCGTTCCCTCTTCTCACCCTCGTTCCTCACCCTGCAGGACGTACGGCACTGTGTGTCACGGGCAGAAACTGTGGCAGGGCGTGCAAGGAGTGCAGAATCAAGGTACGAAATCTACGGCACTCTTAGAGCCGTTGCGATGGGCTTAAAGATTTACTCGCGTCTCCATGTACTTGTCAATCCAATCACGAATATGGCGGTCCCTCGACTGCCAGCCTCGAGATTTCTTTTCGTCGATATGCGAAGGGTTCCAATGACGGCGTGACGGAATTCCAGCAATTCGTCCGTGATATTCGCAAATTTAAATAGATAATTTATAGTTGGACGATAAATGCGCGGGTGGACCTGCTCTAAATTATTTGTGTCGAACGTGTGAGACGAGTCGGCAGTTTATTAGCATTTGCATTTCCGACGACCTAGATCTGCATGGCGCAAAGCAGTTTCATTCCTAAAATTGTTGGAGATTACAGCTTGAAATTGCTACATCAATTCTTTCTTTAGATTTCCGACGATTCTTTTATTGCGTTTTCCAAACCTTTCAATCCTTTGTATAGGACAATTCGTGTTTTATCTTCGATAATTTTCGATAACATCAAACAGATATGATTTCAAAGAACGATTTAATACGTAAATTTAATTACCAAATGCAACATACACACACACACACACACACACACACACTTAAGCTTTCTGACGCAATTGTGATATGTAATAATATTAACTGCTTCAAAGGCAGGAAAAATTGCGCGTATTACTCGAGAATAATTCTTTTCATCTATCGATTTGCCGAGAAATACGTCAGTACATATAATCGTTTCTTCCTTATTTTCATAGTTCATATGCATTTCCGAATGTCGATACTCCTGAATTAAAAATTAAATCCATCGTCAGCCTTGAAAACGATATTTCAGGAAAACAAATAACACAAACTCAAACAATGTGACTGAAAGCAACAAGAATACAAATTATAAAGAAACGTGAAGGTAACGTGAAAGAGATGTCGTGGGAATACGAATAAACCGCGTAAAAGTTTCAGAATATACTTAAAGAATCGTACGTGATATCGATATAAATCTAGCTGAAGTGCTTATCGATATCCGAAAAACAGGAAGACGTGGCCTTTTGTTTCTTTTTTCACTAATACCACACTATACACACGTTATCGAATACACAAGAATAATATGATTTATATTTATATTTATTTACATAAGAATAATATTATATATATTTATAAAAGGATATTTAAATTATGCAACAATCAGCAATTATTCTTATGGACGAGTGTATATTGCTGTTAAATTAGTTTCGCTAATTAGTAATTAATTTGATTAATTGCAAAGTAATTGTCGTAGACTTTTCAGTCGCATTGGTCGACGTCATATATCGTCGGAATATTTAAATATAGGCACCACTGAAATGTCACCGATAGAATTCCCGTTTCGCGAAAAACATAATAGCATGAGAATCGACGGAACTAATCACGTTATCAGTGATCCAATTGATACGGGTGGATACGTCAGCAACGCTTTCAAAGTATGTCAACGGTGCATGAACTTTTTGCACGAAAGTGTTATTGGTAATTTTCAAAATTGCTCGTATTTTTATTTCACTGGATATATCGATCCGTGGTCGTGACGGCGTTATTTTTACGCGGTGAAGCAACGTTGAAAAATTTCGGCATAAATTCTTACAGCGGAGAAGGAGAGATATAATGGATACGAATCGAATTAAGAAAGAAGTCTAAGAGATAAATGATTCACGAGAGAAAAAAGATTAGCCGAGGCATTACGCTGAGGCATTCATTAAATCGTGTTTTCATATCAGATATCAGAGAGAAGGGGCGAGAAAGAAAAATAAAGAGAACGAGCGACAGTGATAGTCAATTAATTTATTAGCAGCGACTTGCTTAAAATATCATTATTCTAAGAGAATCTCTAGGAAGCAAAGGAAATATGCTATAATATTTGCTACATTCGTTCGCTAAAACTGAAGTCGTTAAAGTTTCTATTGTTGCACAAGTCCCAGTTTTGCGCTCAGTTTATATTTATATGCTATTTCCATTTAACCGTTTTCACTCAACTCCAATAAAACGGAAACCTGCAACAATAGGAAAGGAAACATATTAGCGAACAAATTTCACACTTTATTCCGTCCGTTGTAAAAATACGGATTTACTATCGAAATATCAAAGCGTAAATCTAACTTTGTTTATGTGGAATGTTGGGCCCATTTGCTCGTAAATTGCCGTGATTCAAAATTTTTAACCGGTTTACGAGTCGCGACAGAATAGAAGTAAATATCGCGGGATATTTTCCTGCCGTTATTCGATGCGACTTAACGTGATCGAATTGGAAACTGTGCATTGAAAATACTTCATCGTTTGATTTACGTTTGCATGTATCATCGCTTTTAAGCTGCCAGCAGTAATCAGCCGAACGTGGCCGACCACCATTTCCCTCGATAGCGTTATTTCACGTGGTGAAACTTTTACTTCTGTTTCGGCGCCATTGGAAATTCTGTCACCCCGGATCCTACGTGTAACAATCATTAACGTTCTCAAACGTGAACATATTTTCGTTTCGCTTGTGAAAGTACAAACATAAATTTTCATAGTTGTTCGATACTATCGTTCGGATTTGTTCACATGTGTAAACTATTCAACTCGAGTCTCGAACTTGATTCCTTTCAATGCGATCTAATCGCTTTTACAATAACGAAGAGTGAGTTGCTGCATCTAAACTCCAAAACTACATTGTGGGAAAGGAAACAAAAGTCACACGTGCGTGACTATACATAATTTACAATATATATACACTCTCACCTTCTCTTTACCTTTGAGTATGCAAAATCTTTGGTACATACACTGCGAAACAGTCGACTCTGCTCAAGTTCTAGCCGGTCGGAATGGTACGTGATGTATAATTAATGCGTATAGATCGACATTTCTAGAATCCGGCTAAATATTCGGACGACCATGGTAAGATCGAGGAGCCGCGCGCGCGGGGGCTTTAAATATGAACTCACGTCTCCATTTTGCATGTCGACACGATCACAGGATATATCGGGCTGGGCAAGTCTAAACGATCATGCGATATTGCAGTATGTCAGTGGTTGGAGTAGCGAGTGGCGTATTCGCACGAAAGGACGCCATGTGTTCGCGTGAAATATATAACATTAGCTGGCTGGGTGAAGCGCAAGTGACGCTATCGCGGTAGACATACATTATTAATCCCGTAAGACCGAATGTTCCAAGACCGATGCGCCGATAGCCGAATACACGTTCAACAATGTTGAACGATGAAAGAAGCGCGCGCGATATTTCGAACGAAGCAAAGTCCGTCCAAAAATAAAAGCCGATGTCGGTAAAACGACGACATGTGTGTATAGCAGCGCGACAAGAAGATAACGCGACTAGGAAAAATACACAAGAAAATCGATGTGTAGCGTATACATAATGCGTCTGATTTATTTTACTTCAAAATAGTCCTCCGAGAGATGTCTCTCGACGTTGTTTATAATGCGCATGTTTCCAAAGGACTGTACATTCCGCTTTAATAGCGCTTGGTTTCTCCGTTACATTCTCTCGATGCGGAAAGAAAACACCGTTCTTTCAAAATTCAATTTCAATTCCGGAAAGAGAAGGAACGCATTCCGACAAAGGGAGAAAGAGACTGGATATCTTTAATTTAATTCTCGGTGCATCGTTTCGCCGCGTTGTATATGTAGAAATATCTTTATTCGTGCACGAATCGTGCACGAAACATGCGCGCTTCAGAAAGGGAGCAATCTCTTTCTCTCTCTCTCTCTCTCTCTCTCTCTCTCTCTCTCTCTCTCTCTCTCTGTCTCTCTCTTTCTCCGCTCTGCACCTTCAATTACGCGCTAAGGATAGCGGTGGCTTTTTAATAAGAACGCCGTTCTGAAAAATACGCCGTTAACGACCATTTGGAACCTCTTCTCCAAAATTAGCTGCAAAACGATGTAGTCGACCCAACGAGCGCTAATGAAGAAAGTACACGCAATCGTAGCGACATTTATATCGGCCACCATTTGGAAAGCAAATCGACGCCCTCGATTCGCCGTCATTATCGGTAAATAATTAAACGTTTGCGCGCCGCGGCTGCTGACACGTAGCGCCAGCCGCAGAGCGTGCAGACGTGTTTTCGTTCGGCTGGCCGTAGGTGCTCGTTTGCGTTTGCCAGGGAAAGGAAAGGAAGGGCAGCAGCGTTGCACATTAATCTCCCTGTCTGTTTATCTCGCTCTCCTCCGCCTTCCAACCCCCTCCCCCCCTCTCTCTCTCTCTCTCTTCTTCATTGCGTCGCACGTCGGGCAAATTCAATTTCATCGCCACGGGCGGCGAAGGCGGCCGCGGCGGCGCGATACGCATCGCGACATATCGGATACAACTCATTTCAGACGCTGATCGCGCAAAGGCGTGACCACGGAGGTGGGCCGGTCGGGTGGTAGCTCGAAAATGGATAAAAAATAGAATGTCGCGCTCGATGACGTACAGGCCTTCCAGCGGCTGGGTTATAAATAACGTCTCGCGTGACGCAGCCGTGCCTTGGCGAGCGGCACCATTCATCAGCTCCCGCGCCTCGCACGTGAACGCTCCGATAACGACGCGATGCGACGCGCGAGAGTCGA